TATACCATATTCATTCATCTAAGCACAATATATTATGTTTATACCAATATATTATGTCTTCACTATGCTTTTAATTTATTTCCCTTTCTTATAAAGCACGATTTTTTTTTAAAACAAAATGTTTACCTAATAAGCATATATTTATACATCCTATTTGAGATGCACAAAACATATAGCACATAAAAATACCACATCTATTCAACTTATATTTATACACCTACTTCATACTAAACACTGTAATATAAATCTATTCCTGAAAACGATCCAGTGCTTTATATCTTCTTAACCTAAATTTTTTTAATAGCTTCATTGTTAAATCTACAACCAATTACTACTATTATGCACTAAAATATTACAATATGAATCATATATTAATCTTTAAAGTGTCATATATATGTAAAAGTGCTGTCAAATCTATTTTACAGTAATATTTATACACTTATTAATACTTTCAAAATGTTTTAATATTTTTTGTATTTTTTATATTATTATTATTTTTAAAGTCTTATTACTATACCCTAAAGTGCATTTATGTGTATTATGTACATTAAAGTGAACTAGTGTTAATTATATACATTAAATTGCTACTCATGTTTATTAAAGTGATACTCATGTTTATTAAAGTCATACTAATGCAATTACATCCATCCCTGTAGGCCGTCCTAATATTCGATCTATGCCCTCTGATTCGTTCACATAACTGTGTCTCGGTTTTCCCGATATACACCAATCCACAGGGACATGATATTTTATATACGACAAATGTTGTCTTGCACGTAATTGTGTGTCGTATCCTATAGGTCTTATTCTTGTGTGGATGATTGAAAGTTTGTGCTGGCACCATATGACCACACGTCACACATCCTAGACAACGAATACACCCCCTTATTTGTGATTTCTGTTGTTCACCATAACTCTCCACTGGATCAGTTTTCATCAGTATATCTTTGAAATTCCTATTCCTCCTAAAACAAATCCTTGGTGGTTCTTTAAATTCTCCTGGTAGGGTATTATCACATGCTAGCATATTCCAATTCTTCTTCACTATATTGGATATTTTCTGTGCTTTACTGTGGAATGTTATTGGAAAAAACAATTTAGGCTTTATAATGGTGTCTTGCAGCGTGGTCGCTTTTTTATTTGCTTCTTCCAACGCTTTATCTAAGACCCACTCACTATACCCTCTTTCCAGAAATTTCATTCTCATTTGTGTTATTTGTTGTTGTTTCACATTTTCGTTAGAATTGTTTCTCATTACTCTGAGGAATTGAGCTGAGGTATGGAATTTTTCAAATTTGTAGGATGTGCACTAGTATAGTGTAATATCGTGTTCCAATCTGTGGGTTTGGAGTAAAGGCTATATACAACTTTATGATCCTCTACAGATAACTCCACATCTAAAAAGTGAACCTTCTCTGTACTTATGTCAGCCGTCATACATACTGGTGTTGAAAGTTGGTTGATGTATTCCACCTGTGTAATTGTACCTCCCATATTATCATGACGTCATCTATAAAGCGAAAATACTTAATGATATTTTGCTGAAATGGTTTCAATATGTGTTCTGTTTCAAACACATACATATACGCATTGCTGCGCCCATGGAGTTTCCCGATATCTGCATGTACCATTGGTCTTCAAATCGAAAGTAATTGTTTTTCAATGCCACCTCTAGTAACTCTAATGTATATTCTATAGGCAGACCCTTATACTCTAATGAAGCACATAAGACTTGTCTCATATAGCCTCTATACCACCATCATGTGGGATGATGGTATAGAGGGTACTCACATCCATCGTAATAAGTACCGGTACTTCCACTTCTATGTACAGCTGCTCCAAAATTTTTAAAAGCGACGGGGTATCTTTAATACATCTATGTAATTTCAAGTCTGTTTCTTTGAATTGAGCATCCAACCACTTTCCTATCGGTTGCAGGACCCCTCCTACTGCAGACACTATGGGTCTTCCCGGTGGTTCCATTTGACTTTTATGTATTTTAGGTATTGTATATATGATAGGGGTCCTCGGATGTTTCTGAGTTAGATACAAATATGGATTTTGATCTATATAGTTGGCTCTCAATCCCATAACTAGTACCTCCTCAATTCTTCTGTATGTATTTTTATCCTGTAATTGTCTTTTCACCTCTGCTGCATATTTATCATAATCCATTATGACAATACCCCCACCTTTGTCGGCGGGGCGTATTACGATGGAGGGGTCTCTTGCCAGATTATCCAGAAGTTGACGTTGTTTCTTACTCTCTATTGTTTGGTGGATCAAAATTAGACTTAGGTTTAAACCGTGTTATTATTTCTTTTTGTTTTTGTTGTTGTATTTGTGGTTTATTAAAGTAGTCCTTCAGGCGCATGTTCCTGCCAAAATTAAATAATTCCACATTCCAAGTGAGTGTATTAGGATTGTTCTGAGGTACAAATGAAAGTCCTAATTTAAGAATCTCTATTTCATCTTTTTGTAGGCTTCTTTGTGACAAATTAAACACTGGCACTATCTTCTCAATGGTGGCCTCCCACGGGCAATGTATCTTCCCCTTGTGCCCTCTCCTCGTTGTTCTATGCCGTTTGTGCCTCTGCCTTTGCTTCTCGTTATGTGAACGAATCAGAGGGCATAGATCGAATATTAGGACGGCCTACAGGGATGGATGTACAGATAAACCAGTGGCGAAACATTTTTTGGAGTATAAACACCCCTTGGCAGCATTAAAGTTTGTAGCAATAAACTATATACCATTATCGAGAAGAGGAGGAAATAGAGGAAATACATTGTTAAGAAGAGAAACATTTTGGATACAGGAGTTGGATACAGTTGCACCCCGTGGACTTAATGAAATGATATCTTATTACCCGTTTATATGAGTTGCCTTACAAAAAGGACTGGCCTCTTAGAGTTTAAGATTTTGACCATATAGAGATTTCATGTTTAGCACAATTAATATTGAATATGTTAAATTAAGATATAGTTAAATATAAGAGCCATATAACCATATAACCAATTAAAGTTAGAAATTTGATGAGGAAACAAATAATATCACATCTAATTAGTACTTATAAGATTAAGGTAAATATTTGATCGAGTGTATTTTATCTAAAACAGACTGTTATGCATATAGATATGAATTTAATTCACTAGTAGCACTTTAATTTATGGTCAGCACTTTAATGTAAATAATAGCACCAGTATCACTTTAAGAAGTATAAGAAGCACTTTAATGTACATAATAATCAAGGGTTCACTTTAATGTACATAATATGCACACAGCGCTTTGATGTAGATAATTGCATTAGTATCACTTTAATAAACATGAGTATCACTTTAATAAACATGAGTAGCAATTTAATGTATATAATTAACACTAGTTCACTTTAATGTACATAATACACATAAATGCACTTTCAATCATCCACACAAGAATAAGACCTATAGGATACGACACACAATTACGTGCAAGACAGCATTTGTCGTATATAAAATATCATGTCCCTGTGGATTGGTGTATATCGGGAAAACCGAGACACAGTTATGTGAACGAATCAGAGGGCATAGATCTTTAAAAATAATAATAATATAAAAAATACAAAAAATATTAAAACATTTTGAAAGTATTAATAAGTGTATAAATATTACTGTAAAATAGATTTGACAGCACTTTTATATATATATGACACTTTAAAGATTAATATATGATTCATATTGTAATATTTTAGTGCATAATAGTAGTAATTTGTTGTAGATTTAACAATCAAGCTATTAAAATTTTTTTTTGAAAATCTAAGATAGGTTAAGAAGATATAAAGCACTGGATCGTTTTCAGGAATAGATTTATATTACAGTGTTTAGTATGAAGTAGGTGTATAAATATAAGTTGAATAGATGTGGTATTTTTATGTGCTATATGTTTTGTGCATCTCAAATAGGATGTATAAATATATGCTTATTAGGTAAACATTTTGTTTTAAAAAAAATCGTGCTTTATAAGAAAGGGAAATAAATTAAAAGCATAGTGAAGACATAATATATTGGTATAAACATAATATATTGTGCTTAGATGAATGAATATGGTATAAGTTTTTTATATAGAGGATGGTTTTTAATTTGTTGATAGATTGTATGTATGCTTGGGGGCAACTCCCCGCTGTGCATAAGTAAACCTAGTTGCCAGGGCGCCGGTAAGCATATCGGGTAACCCTGGCAACGGTTGGTGACGTCAACACGCCACTTCTGGGTTGTGGCGTGTTTGCACATGCGCAGGAGTGATGGAGAGACGCCGGGGAAGCAGCGATACAGGTGTATGATTGTATGATTGAATAATTGGTTTGTTTGGCTATATAAATGCATTATTTAGTAAGTGTATTTTTGCTGAATTGATCCTGATGAAAGCCACAGACGATGGCTGAAACGTTGATTATAACTGTGATTATGCTTTAACAAGATATGGAATAAAGAAAGAAAATTTTTATACAAGAAAAAGACCGTGAGTGCAAGCTTTTTTTTACTACTTTATATATATAAATAAATATATATATATATATATATATATATATATAGTCAGGTAGAATGGCTACACTCACGGATTTTCCAATAAAAAATAACTTTTATTCAAATTCCCATAAAACAAATCGACGTTTCAGTCCAGCTTGGACTGAAATGTCGATTTGTTTTATGGGAATTTGAATAAAAGTTATTTTTTATTGGAAAATCCATGAGTGCAGCCATTCTACCTGACTATATGGATGTTCAAGCCCTGGTTATGCTCCCGGTTTAGAAAAACTAGGAGCCTGTGTGCAAGGTACAGTTGAATTTTATATATATATATATATATATTTATATATATATATATAAATTCCAATATGCTTGCACTCCTGGTGAAAACTGTTGTTATTGCCCGGTGCTGATCCAGCAAAATTAGTAGAAATCCAAATAAAGTGAGAGCATTCCAGGGTCTTTAAAGTGTAGTTAAAATATAACCTTTAATTAATCAAAAAATGATAAAATGACATCAACGTTTCGGCTCACATCTGGAGCCTTCTACAGGATGTGAGCCGAAACGTTGATGTCATTTTATCATTTTTTTGATGAATTAAAAGTTATATTTTCACTACACTTTAAAGACCCTGGAGTGCTCTCCGTTTATTTGGATTTCTCTCTCTCTCTCTCTCTCTCTCTCTCTCTCTCTCTCTCTCTCTCTCTATATATATATGTGTGTGTGTGTGTGTGTGTGTGTGAATAAAAACCAAGATGGCTGCACTCACCTGAACATGCATACATTATAGGGTGCTGCTGGGGCCAAAATACACAAAATACAAAATCCAGTGCATTTGATTATTCACTAAACAATGATTTCAAATCTTAGAGATTGTAATAGTTTTATTTAAAAACACCTCACCTAGGCAAAAAAATAATGCAAGTTTAGTTATATTATATGATCATATATTGCATAAGTCTGCCACAACGTCAATGTACCCCATTCTTGGCAGGTCCTACTCTAGCAGCCTAATGCTTGCTCTTATGAGATTAATCCACTTACTTGGGAAATACTTCCTTATTGGGACTCTCTGCAAGTCAAGGCTAAATGGGGTCCTGGAATGAGGCACCTGTGACAGGGAGGGGTGCAAAACCAAGGAGTTGGCCTGGACTACCAAATATATAAATGAAACCAAGAGGGCTGCACTCACCTGAACATGCATACATTATAGGGTGCTGCTGGGGCTAAAATACACAAAATACAAAAAAACAGCGCACTCACTTATTCACTAAACAATGATTTCAAATCTTAGAGATTTTAATAGTTTATTTAAAAACACCTCACCTAGGCAAAAAAATAATGGGGGTTTAGTTACATTATACACCCTGTTCCAAATTATTATGCAAATGATATTTTTCTCATTTACCTAAATAATTGATGAAAATAACAGTCAGCATAATTCTCATGTTATCAACTATTAAGAGTACAATTAAAATTTTATTTAACAAACCTCCTAATGATAACAGTATTTTTTTTAAACATAAAAAACTTACAATGCACTGTTCCAAATTATTACGCACAGTAAGTTTCAAAACACTTTATAGGTTGTAAAGAACTGATGTGTTTGCAGCATATTTACTGAAATCAAAAGCTATTTCAATCAAACTTATAACAACATTTTAACTTTCTAAACATTTTAACAGGTCACGTTACATTTTAACATAGGACCCCTTATTTGATAGCAGCTTCACAAGTCTTGCATCCATTGAACTTGTGAGTTTTTGGAAAGTTTCTGCTTGAATTTGTTTGCAAGATGTCAGAGTAGCCTCCCAGAGCTGCTGTTTGGATGTAAACTACCTCCCACCCTCATAGATCTTTTGCTTGAGGATGCTCCAAAGGTTCTCAATAGGATTGAGGTCAGGGGAGGATGGAGGCCACACCATTACTTTCTCTCCTTTTATCCCCATAGCAGCCATTGATGCAAAGGTATTCTTTGCAGCATGAGATGGTGCATTGTCATGCATGAAGATGATTTTATTACGGAAAGCATAGTTCTTTCTTCTGTACCAGGGAAGAAAGTGGTCAGACAGAAACTCCACATTCTTTGCAGAGGTCATCTTTACACCTTCGGGGACCCTAAAGGGGCCGACCAGCTCTCTTCCCATGATTCCGGCCCAAAACATGACTCCACCACTGCCTTGCTGATGTTGCAGCCTTGTTGGAACAGGGTGGCCGTCGACCAACCATCCACTACTCTATCTATCTGGACCATCCAGGGTTGCACGGCACTCATCAGTGAACAGGACTGTTTGACAATTAGTCTGCATATATTTTTCTGCCCAATGCAGCCTTTTCTGCTTGTGAGCATTGGTTAGTGGTGGCCAAATAGAAGGTGTATGCACAGTTGCAAGAATCTGGAGGACTCTACACCTGGATGTCCGTGGGACTCCAGAGGCACCAGCAGCTTCAAATAACTGTTTACTGCTATGTAATGGTATTTTAGCAGCTGCTCTCTTGATCCGATTGAAATGGATCTGGCAGAAATCTTCCTCAATGTGCCTTTATCTGCATGAACCCGTCTGTGCTCTGAATCAGCCACAAATCTCTTAATAGTGTGATGATCACGCTTTAGTTTTCGTGAAATATCTAATGTTTTCATACCTCATCCAAGGCATTGAACTATTTCACTCTTTTCGGCAGCAGAGAGATCCTTTTTTCTTCCCCATATTGCATGAAAATGGTGCTCTGCTTAATAATGTGGAACACCCTCCTTTAGTAGTTGTAACGGCACTCACAGCATCAAATAGTAAAACCGCCGTTTAGTTAATCCTCCCCTCTGACCATAACGCAAGCTTCATTCGTACCAACTCCAATTATACGAACTGCAAGCAGGGGAATACTCCAATCTCCCAAATGGGACCCGTACGGGTACTTCACTTCCCGATCAGTAAACTCACGAATCGCCGCTAACAGCCGAAACCATATATCTCCCAAGCAGCTAATACTTCCATCCGGCAGTCGCTATTTGTGTAGTAAATTCCCCTCCAATAACGAGACCAAGCTCCGCATTGAGGGTAAAACATGAACTGGGTTTACTGTGGGCTACCCGCCCGTATTTATGCAGGTCTCCCACTTGGTGGACAATCCCCTAGACGTCATATTCCGGCTCCCTGCCTCACTCTGCGGCGCGCAAGGGAGCTGAGCAGATCGCTCAGAGGAAGAGCTCCCTCGACAGCCGCCTGCCAGCGCCGCCCGCCAGCCTGCCGGTCCGCCCAGCATGTCAGTTAGCCGCGAGGCTAACTAGGCATTTGCCCTGGGCATTTGGGGGTGGCTTTTTTTGCCGCCCCCTGGAAAATGTCGCCCAAGGCAAATGCCTTGTTTGCCTCGAGGCTAATACGTCCCTGGCAACTATTCAGTTTAGCATGCTAACCAAAAGGAGTCAATGCAGTTACAGAGGTGGAAGCTATACAACAATTAGGATGAGTTATTAAACATCAAAGGAGCATCTGAAAACAACTGACTATAAAGACTGATAGGCAGTCAGTATGCTTAGGAACTATTTGGAAGACCTGTTTTTGCAATGTAGGTGTCAATTCACTGTATAGAGATTACGTTTGTTTTTTATTCTTTATTTTTGTTGTGTGTGAAATGAACAGGATATCAGTAATCAAGACATCGTTTAGTGACAGGAGAAGTATCCAATATTACATGTCTAAAAGAAAAACTTAACAAATTTTTGTAATAAAGACAGGCATACGTCATGTGTTTAACCTCTTAATGACACATGACATGTGTGACATATCATGATTCCCTTTTATTCCAGAAGTTTGGTCCTTAACCCCTTAAGGACTAAACTTCTGGAATAAAAGGGAATCATGACATGTCACACATGTCATGTGTCCTTAAGGGGTTAAGGGGTTAAAGTGATTAGTAAATACTATATTAGCATGCAAGTGAAGCAATCTAGAAATGAAGTTTAAGAACAAGAAAATATTTAATGAAGCATTCTTAACTATGCAAAGTTTGTAAAATAATACATAAGCGTCACAAACTAAAACAAATTATGTTGACATGGCTAAGTGCATATTATAAGGTAACAGGCATCTGTAGTATAAATGTATGACAGAGTAGTTACTATAAGGGGGCAAGCTTGCTGAGATATGGCAGGCCAGTTGGGTACTATAAAGTGAGATGTTTAGGTAGATCAGGCAAGATAGGTTTGGTCAACAGTGTTAGATATATAAACCATCAGCAATTTAAGAGATGGAAGACAGGATAAGCAGCTGATACTCTGTAGCCAAGGTTACTCGAGAATAATTCTTTTATATAACATGTTTGTGACTCATACAGATATTTTTCAGATGAGCAAGTGGCCCTTTTCTGTGTAATGTGTTCCTGTCCAATTCTAAAGAACACATTATGTGAATATCTGTCTAGTGTCCTCGCTAACTAATACAATCTTCCTGTATATATTCTCTTCCACATAGTGTCGAAGTGATTTCTTGAGTGGGCGGATGAACCTAACCCCAAGCATGGAACTGCAAGAGAAATGTCTGGCCCTGGCAGTCCTTGACATGATGAGACTTGCCCAAGAGAGCAACAAAACACCCAAACAGATTCTCAGCTGTGTGAAGTAAGTACCAGTAAACACTGAAAAACAGAATTGGCATTCACAAAGAACTACAAAGATCAAGTGAATGTGGTGCTTTAAGTTAAATAATATAAGTACATCACTTTAGTTTTGCAAAAATTCTACCTCTGAGTTTTTCTTTTGTTTTTTTTAAATTTCTTTTATGGTTTATGTAACTGAAATAACATGTTTGATACATGATATAATACTCTGATCTAACATTGCATGGCTTTGTTGGGGAACGTTTAAGAACCTCTAGAATAATAGGTTATTCATTGATTTTCCAAACATTAAGACACTGGTTGTGGGTTGTAAGAGACCTTCTCTATAAAACAAATCATTCCTTTGCTTTTTATTATACTGTTTGTAAAACGTATCATGCTCCTTTCAAATAAGAGCATTCCGAGAAATCGTGAAAAACCGTGCAATAATAACTAAAGCTGTATGGGCATTTTATTCACTGTGTTCCTGAGACCCACATACACTGACCAGCCACAACAGTAAAACCACCAGCCTAATTTCATGTAGGCCTTCGTGCATCTAAAACAGCTCTGATATATCAAGTCATGGACCCCTCAAGACATCCAAATGTGTCCTGTGGTATCTGGCACCAAGACATTAGCAGGGGATCCTTTAAATTCTGCAATTTGCAAGGTGTGACCTCCATGGATGAGATTTGTTGTTCCTGCACATCCCACAGATTCTCAATTGGATTGAGATCTGGGGAATTTGGAGGCCAATGCAACACCTTGAACTCTTGTTCATGTTCATCAAATGGGCATTCTGATCAGTTTGTGGCTAAGCAGCCACATAGGAAGCACTGTGTGTTCTGACACTATTCTACCAAATCCAGCATTATCTTTCTCAGCAATTTGAGCTTGTGACGAAAATGACCTTGCCACCGGTTTTTGGAGGGGCCTGTTTTCCAGCCTGCTGCCCAAAGACATGTTAAAAAGTGACTTCCATGGGAAAATGTGC